TGGAATATCATCAGTCAGTTTTACTGTATGTTCCGCATATGGTGTTGGCTCAGTACCGGATGTGAATAATCCAGCATATTGTTGTAGACCTTCATTTCCTCTCAATTGTGATGCATTCAGTTATACAGAAAACATTGGAGTAGATTCCGCAGTTCCATTACCAAATAACATTATTTTCATCACTTTATTATTATAGTACCATATTATTGATTTTATTATCATAGTATCATGTTATCTGAGAGAGGCCTATATCTAGAGGATAGAGAACGGCTAGGGAGAAGAAGAAGAAGAGATCATGTTAGGTATCCAAAGTGTTTTCTCTTGGAAAGTCCTGGCTGATGCTCCTCGCTGGCGAAAGGTCCTGGCAGAAGATCTGGGTCTTTCATAAATATCGGAGATTGAGCTGGAAAATAAGAGAAATTATGAGAAGCAAACTCGTGATTTTGCGATTGGTCATACCTTCCACATCGTGTGAGCGTTCTTCGCCAGACATTTCTTGGTCTCTTTCTTCGGTCCCTTCTCATCAATTTCAACGCTGTCATCCGGAGACTTGACGTTTTCACACAACCCGTTGCATGTTGTGCATATTGACGAACAAGGCGAACGAAGGCCTGTCTTCTTGCATCCACAGTTTCACTGGCAGCCTTCTTGCATTTACAAGATATAATCTGAAGTATTGGTTTTCCCGGTTTCATTAAAAAGACACAGGAAATCACGAAAAGGTCGATGTCTTCCCCCATCACTATATATTCATTTGAAAAAGCCAACTTGAGTGCTATTGTAATTATGATAATATCAGCATCTTCGACTGCTTGCTGTGACTCAATGTTTGCATCATTCAACTTCTTCATCAACATGGATATCAACCGGTTCTTGTTTGTGGAATTTGCAAGAAAACTGTCCTGCGAGACAGTGGGCACCATCGATTCAGTAAATGATACTGCCGCAGAATGTTTCCTTTGCGCTCTTCTCAATCGCTTTATTCGCTTGGTGCTTCCACAACCTTCGTCGGGGTAGCCATCCAAAATGGCCACGGCATTCCATTTGTAATTTGACTTAACAAAGGAAACATAGCTACTGCAGATTTCTGCATATGTCCTATTTGGACAAGTAGCAGTTGATTCTATCATCTGCAACAACACCTGAACTAAGTGACATCAAGTCAGTGTTCTCTGGAAAAGGAGGATGTTCGTGGAACCAATTCAGCAACTTTTTTGCATGGGTTATGTCGCGCTCTTATCTCTGCTGTCAACGTGTTGTTCAGACTTCGCGTGTTCCACTCCAGTGAAGTGTTCAAGTTCTTGGCCCACATTACGTATTGCTGTCATCCTTTGAGTATATCTTCTTACAAACACTTGGAGTTACTCCACGGTCATGAGTGAGACCACCACAGTCCAGGTGCCGCATCAAAGTTTATCAGTCCTCCGAATAGTGAAACATCCTCCTGTAGCCAAACGCGTGTATTCAGCAGGTGGCAATGTAGTTTTCAAGGCGAGCATATCCTGAACGTATAGATGACTGCATTTAGCATACAGATTATGGCCACTTACGTGAAAAAAAGTAATCATTTCATATATGATTTGAAGGTGCAGTTCTAAGTCGCTGCTTCTTTCTGCTTCAATAAAGTGTTTCATCAAAGTTACCATTTCGAAATATACAACCCAGAGCTTGACAGTTGGACCACGTTCTGCCAAAAATTGAAGCTTACTTTTGAATTCATCTTGCAGATCTTTCGCAATCTCTTTCACATTATTGGAAAGAGTCACTGTTCTTTCCAGGTTAAACAAGATTTCCTCCAATTGATCGACCATCGTAACTGATAAGGCTGCAAAATTATTTTGGCCAATGTTCTGTGGGCCAACATATGAGCTCCGTACTGCCCTTGCGTATGCATTGAGTTTGCTGCAAATATTGTGTTGAAAAGTTAAGTCAATCCACTATCCTGCATAATGAAACCAATTGACCCCATAAACGACATCAGTAAATGGAATCCTCTTAGCCTTATTACAATATTTGAAGGATCAGGATCATCCGGATCGCTAACAAGAATGTCTCGTGCCTTGAAATAGAGGGGTTAGTCAAATGTCACTAGACAGGTAGCTTGGTTCAAAGATTTGGTGTTCTCTAAAACTCCGGCCAACAATGCTGTGAATATCATATTCATTTGGAGGAGCATTGATTAATGACTGAGAGCTAATAAAAGTTACTTGACATGGTATGTTTCTTTTAATATCTTCCATAAATCCATTCCAACCAAAGAGACCAGGAATGTCTATACTTTTTCCATAGAGCCACAGGCACAGAGGAGATCGCAGTTTCACTGGATGTGAACATTTAATTAAAATCGTATATCTTCAATTCAGCTGAGCCTTAAGGTTTTGTTCTCTCAAAATGTCTCAGTTTATTTGCTCCATAACTTCCGGAATCGTAGGGCCAGTGTGTTTCTCCGATCGTTTTGAATCGAGAAATGAATTGATTGGGAGCTACTGTCTATTTTGGGGCAATACAGGCAATGATGACGTGAAAGGTGTTGTATCCGTCGATCGTATGTGGGTACGTTGAAATCAGCATTATCGTAAACGTGTTGTGAAAAGCACGGCTGATCAATTTTCAGCGGATCACCCTTGATTGCTGATGGTTCCAGGCGTACAGCTTCTGTATAAGATGAACAAAACCCCAATGAAGACACTACGTAAACTAATTTTCTTGAGCCGTACTTCTTGAACAGGAATACTGCCACCCCTACCAAAAAAGAGGAGATAAACGATCTAGGCCTTACAGCTGCAACAAGACTATGCGCCATCTTATGGTCCCCACGTTTTTTGTTTAGAACAACTTTTTCCAAGAATGTGCGGAGGGTTTCTGGAATGAGTTCTTCATTTTTATCTAAAAGCTCATCAGAAGGAAGGTACTGTTCTGTGTCATAAGCCTGGCTCCGGATATCCTCAACAAAAATTGCAGCAGCTGCCTCAACGATTTAGACTGTCCGTTTTTCATTGCCTGCTGGTACCAAGCATCAGTCAAAATTTTATATCCTGTGTTTTTGAAACATGCTACCTGCGCCTTGTTTGGGGAGACAATAATCTTCTTTGATTTGATCAATCAACTCTTCGAACGAAAACTGGCACTCTCCATCACTATTCTCAAAATAACTGTAGACATCTTCCATTGCAGCTTCGACATTATTGGCGAATGGACTTGTTGGTTTCTTGTCTTGAATTTTTGGGCAATTGTACAGTTTTCTCGTACATACACTATGGTACTGACAATCAGAGTCCACCAAGACTAGTTGTATTCCTTTCACATCTAGGAGGAGCTCCGGAACAGCTCCCGGACTTCACGCGCTTATTCCTTTCGAAAAGTGTTTGGTGAACCACGTATCTGTTACCTGCAAATCGGGGGCGACTATACACCGGAGCGAGCAGCTCGAGTGTTTCAAACTCTTGAAAGGAATACAACTATTGAGACAGGTAAAAGACACTTGATTATGGCTTTTCCGTACTCATCACCGCGTTCTGATGATCTCTCTATAATGGTTTCCTTGACCTTTGAAGTTCGAACCTGATACCTACACAATATTGCGATTGGTTTTCTTTTATATTTTTTATAGACTCGGGGGTTATGAAAAGGCCACACATACAGCAATGAGTTTTGGTAGAGAAATCAGTTGAACGTCTTTTAACCTATTCCCTGCCTCGCTCCACCTTCTTCAAATTAGCGGCAATAATTCTTTCACTAGTATAATTATTACGACAACGCTCATGAACCACAACTTCCGTTTTTTTGCTTAGCTGAACATGCTCACCATCTCTCCTCTTCTTACTTGACACAATAAACGTATTCAAACCTTTTTGCTGCACCGTTGTTGCGTTCTCTTCATCATTATCCATTACTTCATCACAAATAAAACATATGTTTGTGGAGGAGGTTGCGTGACAGGGAGCTTCCGTGAATGTCTACCTGCCGTTGGGCAGATATAATAGTTATTTAGGTATCAAGGGTACTAAGTAGATGATTATGCCCTGAGGGCGACAGTCTTACAAAGCCGAGGGCCTCTGGCCCGAGGGTTCGTAAGTCGCCCGAGGGTATATATATCTATTAGTACCCGTGGCGCATACAAACTTTTATGTCATACCAGTTGGTTGTGAATAATAAATACCTGGGAAAAAAGTGTGACTTCGCAAATTGTCATCAGTGTGCAAACATCATCATTTTTTGACAAAAATACTATGTTTTTAAGCGTAAATTTTTATTTTGGTAATAAAGAATAAGTTAATTGAAAACTGTTTTTTGTGTCTTCATGCCAGCGCGGGCCATGAATTATGTAGATGGTATCTAAGGTATAAAAACACAATAATGTATTGGTATGACATAAATAATTTTATGTCATACCAATACATTATTCATAGAAAATTTCATTTACTTTCATTTTGAATAGAGGTGTTTTCTCCAAAAAATAAATAGGTTTCGAGTTATACGCAAAAGACTGCCAAAACTACAATTCATTTCACTTTTTTTGCACTTTTTTCAATGTTGCGTCACGAAATTTTGTTAGCAAACCTCTAATTTGGATTCAGCACCCCAAAAAACATAAAGAATAAAAAAAATCAAAACTGCCACAAAACTTTCTCGCGAGAGCACAAATTTATTGTACTAATCTAAACTCTCACAAGATATGACATTGAGAATCAGGACATTTTTTCATTTTCAATTTATATTGTATACACTGTACCTCACGTTTTGTTGGACGGACACGGAATTAAATTTTCAGATGTTACTTCTGCCGCTGTCTAGTCGACCTTCAAATTTATCTACGTGTACACTTACTTGCCCCTCCGGATGAGATTGGAAATTCTTCAGTGTCCGGGAACAAATGAATTATTGATGAACAGCTATATGGGCAAACTTAAAATAATCAACTTTTAATCTTACACACCGAGTACAAATTTTAATAGTAATTTTATGCGACAATTATGTAAAGTAGCCCGTTTCCGTTTCAGGTTTTGCGTCGGCGATAGATTCTACTTGTGCGAAAATAAAATCTTGTGCGAATACGATTACGAGGAACGACTGGTGTTTGCGAATATGGCTTACAATCCGCCGCCGTTGTCGCATTTAAAACGACAAACATCGATACCGCCGGTAAGTACGTAAGTATAGGAATTTTTATTTAAGATTTTTCCATTTTTGAAACGTTTTCTTTTTGAGTTGAGAACTGGTAAATTATTTATTTATATTAGGTAAATTATTATTATTTATATAGGTTAGGTTCACGTAGCTCCCAGTTCATAGTCCACTGACATTCTCTTTCCGCCTTTTCCTTTACATCATTAAACCAGCATCTTTGCAATCTTACGACAACTTTGGTCTCCAATCCAGTTAAACTATTATAGCACTCTGTATTTGTAATTTAACCTTAGCGAAGGCTATAGGCAAGTTGAAATGAACCACAAGAAAATGAGTGTAACTTTAATGTAACTTAGTCAATCATTGATAGTTAATTTACTAGGTAAAACTATAGCTCTAACAAAAATTAAATAGTTAGTGTATAAAAAGCAGAATAAGATATATTTAAGAGGAAAGAAAATGGGGTTCAAGTTTGCAAAGAAAATCTGCCGTTATTAGTTTAAGTCTCACTTGTTGAAATGGATTTTATTTGCCTCGAAAATTAGTTTGGATCGAGGTTTAGATTCGAAATCCTGGAGTGAGTGAGGTGGTCTTTACTCTACTCTTTAGGGCAGCTTTTTACTAATGATCAATTAGAGAAGGTGAGAATCCACTGTGGGGAAAAACTTCCAAAGCAAAACTTACCGAATGGATGGTTGTGAAAATCCGAAATCATCGGCGAAATTATGGCACTTTATGAAAACGTAACGCAACGTAGGGCAACTCAATGTACCATAAATTCAATAATTGAGAATATTAAGGTCAAAATCCCTCAGAGGCGAAGACAAAATTCAACTTATTCATAATTTGTGTATAAAAAGCAGAATTAGATAGATTAAAAAGGACAGAGAATGGGGTTCAAGTTTGCAAAGAAAATCTGTCGTTATTAGTTTAAGTCTCATTTGCTTCGAAAATACTCTGGATTAGTTTGGATCGAGGTCTGGATTCGAAATCCTAGAGTGAGTGAGGTGGTCTTTACTCTACTCCTAAGGGCAGCTTTTCACTAATTTCACTAATGATCAATTAGAGAACGTCAGAATCCACTGAGGGGAAGAACGTCCAAGCAAAACTTACCGAATGGATGGTTGTAAAAATTCGAAATCATCGGCGAAATTATGGCACTTTACGAAAACGTAAGGCAACTCAATGTAACATAAATTCAATAATTGAGAATATTAAGGACAAAATCCCTCAAAGGCGAAGACAAAATTTAACTTTTCCATAATTTGTGTATAAAAAGCAGAATTAGATAGATTCAAAAGGACAGAAAATGGGGTTCAACTTTGCAAAGAAAATCTGTCGTTATTAGTTTAAGTCTCATTTGCCTCGAAAATACTCTGGATTAGTTTGGATCGAGGTCTGGATTCGAAATCTTGGAGTGAGAGAGGTGGTTTTTACTCTACTCCTTAGGGCAGCTTTTCACTAATGATCAATTAGAGAAGGTCAGAATCCACTGTGGGGAAAAACGTGTAAAGCAAAACTTACCGAATGGATGGTTGTAAAAATCTGACATCATCGGCGAAATTATGGCGCTTTACGAAAACGTAAGACAACGTGAGGCAACTCAATGTACCATAAATTCAATAATCGAGAATATTAGGGTCAAAATTCTTCAAAGACGAAGACAAAATTTAATTTCTCGGAACCACCAATCGTGAAAAATCCACAGGGAATTAATTAGCTGTCCTAGATTTGAAGAATAGAGATGAGGCAAAGTAACGACAAATATCAAAAATAAATCGGGTAATATTTTGAGTACCCAAAATTGCACACAACAATATAATCAGAGAAAAATTAAATACATAAAGGAATTTTGAATGGAAAACTGAAAATAAGTGTGAAATAGTTAAAGATTAAAGAAAATTCTGGCACGTTACACCATCTAGTATATTGTCTTGATGGACGATTTATCCAGCTCAACTGCACTTTTGGCTTAACCCTCTGGGTTATGACATCATTTTTCGTCTGATCTCCATAATTTCTGGTATAATCCCTGAAACTTAATTCATAACATCATTCTTTGCGTGATCCTGAATCTGTTGACATGATTTTTCTTTAAATTGATCTTATATCCGCTAACTTCTCTTGTATTTTTATTGTAACTATGAGTACCTACTCATCAACCATGTAATAGTTTTTCTTTTTTTTCCAGACCTCGTTGCCGAACCACCACATGATAAACGGACACAGACCGTCACTGCCGCCGCCGCCGACAAGCGGCGACATGAACAACAACATGTCGGCTTCGGCCGGCCAAAATTCGACCGGCGGCCAATCGTTCGTGGGCGCGAATCACCTGAAAAACGGTCCCATGTCCCTGGGGACGCCCAGCTGAAAGTAACTTGACTGTGATTTTTGAATTCAGTTATTTTGGTCAGTGATAAATATTGACCGGAAATCATGTATACTATGAGTCTAAGGGGGCGGTCACATAGTAGAGCACAGAGTGGAACGTAATTTGAAGCATTTTTAGGAAGGTATTCAATTAATCAGGACACTAATGTTTTCGTTGACTTTTGTTGATATTCTGCTTCTTTTTACCTGATGTTAAGTAGAACCATCCAATAGATTGAGAGTCCAGAAAAAAACTAAATCACGAGCTCGTAGAGCGAGGGTAAACATTTACGAGCCCGTAGGGCGAGAGTTTTTTTCTGGTGATGCTGGTGGTAATGCTGGTGGTGATGTTGGTGGTAATGCTGGTGGTGATGCTGGTGGTGATGCTGATAGTACTTGCTAGTGCCATTAGATATTTCTTTGCAGCTACAAGTAATTAACCTCGCCAAGTCTACTGTAGATCTTTTCTAATTTTATCTTTAATAATGTTGATGTTTCACTTAAAAGTAGGAATACTGCAAGACGAAACGAGACACGAATAAGCTCTCTCTTGTCTTGTCTCGAAGGTTTGAAAGAAAATGAGTTTCGTCTCTGCTGATGGCATTAACAAGTGCCATTAGCATTACCACCAGCATTATTAGAAAAAAACCAACCCTCGCCCTACGGGCTCGTGATTTTTTCAAGATGACACGCTCTTTGTGTTTATGTGTGACCGCACCCTAAGAATGTTCAGCTTTCCCACCAAAAACAAACGTTCATTTTATGTGTTTATGAGAATTTCCATTTTCCTGTAAAATATTATAAATATCCATTTGTACATAATTATTATATTCGTATACGTTAAAATTGTTTGTATATAATGCTCAGTATTTTAATAGGCTTTTAACAACTTCACTGAAGAATTATTGTTCTATACAGGTGGAGTTGGAACAAATGTGAAGACTAAGGGTACGTTCAGAAACTCAACTAGCTAAAAAAGAGAGTCAGTTGCTCAGATATACAGGGTGGTCCATTCAGCTTGAAGACAGGCGTGTTTTTGAAAAAAAAAAAGTTCAAATACAAGTTATATGGTGTCATGGGGGAAAGAAAATATTAACACCATTAACATTAAAGTAAACAAAGTTTTGTTTCGCCAATATCTTGGAGCACTTATGAGTTAGCGGCAGATAGATGAGTTGCAATCATGTGCAGTTCTTCATTATTTTGGTCAATTGTATGACGGGTTCAGAGGAGAGAGCGGGCTTGTTACACCTTTGATGCATCCCACCATGGCCCTTCTCGAGCAGTTCATCTCTCTTGGTTCATGGGCGGGTCTTGTCATCACAACAATCATCAGAGCTGGACTCTGTACCGAATCGAAATATTTTCTCGATCTCTATTGACGTCACTTTCTATCGATTTCGATAAGAGAGAAGAATAAAGGAAGTCCAATAACGATGGAGATAACGATCTCTATTCATTAGAGAGTCCCAGCCCAGTTTATGAATGAGATGCTGTCAAGATGTCATTGGTTATGACAAGACCCCCCACAGGCCAGGAGAGGGGTCATGGTGGGGATGCATCAAAGGTGTGAACAAGACACGCCCTCCCCTCTGAACCCATGATTCACTTGACCAAAAGAAAAAAGAAATGCGCAACTCGTTTATCTATCTATCTGCCTCTAACTCATATGATATTCATTTGATGGTTTAATGGACCACAGTGTATACAAAATTAACTGAACATAGCTTCAATATATGTATTATAGGAAACAATTCTTGAAAATATTGTCAAATGCTTTTTAATTATTTTCTTTTTTTTTTTTAAACGGGTATAATGTAAAATATCAAATTTATGAAAATGTATAATCTTTGCAAAAAATCCGTATAATTAAACCAATAATTAATTATTGTTGTTAAAACTTGTTTTGTTGTTGCCATATTATGTTAATTATTTAAGAAGAAAATTGTTTTAGTTAAGAAAATATAAATTTAGCTTTAAAGAAAAAAATAGAAGACGTGAGAAATTATTATAAAAAAAAAATTGAAAGAAATGAGGTGCCAATTTTTCTAGTTTTCGTCTCTTTGTACAGTACAAAATTTAGCGTACCGCATATTATGCCAATGATTTTACCAAAGAAAATAAAGTCGTAATTGATTAAAGTTTTTAGTTGTTTTATTGAAGGAATAAAGTCACGATTGATAAGCTCATATTCAGGAGAGATAAGAAGAAAATTTACATTAAGTTTGACATAAATTTTCTCTTGAACCCTTCACTGGATTTCAATGAATTTTTCACAGATTGTAGCTTGATTCTTCAGGAATACATCTGACGAATAGCCGTTAATAAATGATTCGTCTTTATATCATATACCAGGGATGGAAAGAAAGTTAGTAATTTTCACAGTTTTTTTGAGACACCCTGTGGAGTGAACCACTGGAAGTTCAGAACAGTTTTCAACACCATCTGAACATTTTCATTTTTTATTCACTCTGATATTTTCGATATTATTGAAAATATAGAGTTTCGAAGAAAAGGTGTATATTGACCTTAATTTTCTCGAACTGGATATGAAAATGTGTTGTTTTCCAACTTCCAGTCGTGTGTGTGAATGTTTACTTCAAGTGAAATATTGCTAGCAGTTTTGCCTCTCACCGATCAATTTATTGTGAAAAGAATGCTCAGAAATATACAGGGGGATCAGAAAGTCCCTTTCATGATTTCCATTTGGTGGAATGTTATTTATCTAAACTAAACTCACTAAACTCTCCCTTCACACTTAACCAAGGCTTAGGAGTTCTCCAATTAATCCTTCAACAGACCTCACCACATCGGTAGGATATTCACGAATTAAATCTTATTTGAATAGGAGAAATTACGTTTAAGGTGCGGTTTCGCTGACGCGTCTAGCGGTGGCGACTAATCGCTGATGCGTCTTTTGCAACCTCAGACGCAGCCGCCAGTCGCGGCGACAAGTGGTTTGGTTAGCCCGCCTCATCTTCATCTCTTTTATTCACATCGTACATCTTGAAGTTTAGAAATACATGTATAAAATGTTCAAGGGGTACCTATCATAAGGTTTTGGTTCCTGTCTGATAACAAATACCTGCTCTCTTTACCGAAAAGGATATTTTTTCCATGTACATATTTTCTTTTATTGGAAAATTTTCATAATGTTTACCCTCGTGATCGTATATACTTAGCATATTTTTCAACTTCTTCAATGAATAGTTCATCCTGGCTTGTCAAAAATTTAGCCATTTTTCCTACAAAAATCGCCTAGCAGCGCGTCCAGACTGGTATACCGAACAGTCAGTCGCGAACGCTGCGACTGGGTCGCTAATGGCCGCGGCTGAAACGCTCCAGCGGAACCAGAAGTACACAATCGCATTAAAGTCATAGTCAAGCGAAAGTCTACATTCGTATTTGATTTTACTTGATAAAAATTCAACATGAGTGATATGACTCCTATACAGTGCAATTAGAAATGTAGTGTGGAGGTAGACTAGTTGTTTGTCAGAGTGTTCTGACGTCATCACTTGGAGTGCACTCTAAGTGCGCTATTCCTGAACGTATTGGGGCGTTGCGGTGAATGTCAATGTCATGAATCACGTCAAACCTGGTAAAAACCAATTGACGTGTCTCGCATAGATAGAAAAAGAGAGCTTAATTGTAATAAATACAAGTTAGAAAGTAATAAAAAATGACATGCGCGCGCAACTGGTGTCTGCAGTGTAGCCAGATTCTATTGTGGCAGAACAAATGTAGGTATAGACAATACAAGTGATATATTGTCAATTGTTTTACAACGCCTTAAATCGGACAAACGAAGAGTGTATTTTAACATCGTTTGCACTTTCATTTTGATAACTGTTTCATCTGGCAACATCACACAACGAAATTAAGGTTATGTCTCATGTAAACAAAGACCAATTACAAGATCTTGAAAAAAGGTGTAGATATTGCAAAAAGAAAGTCGCGTTTCCGCTTGATTGTGTAGTTTGCAAGTTGAGCTATCATCGAAGTTGTGGGAAACAGGTAGGAGTAGTAACCAACGAAAATCTGGTTACTTGTTGTACTACGCGTACAGGAAGAGAGGTTAGAACTGAGGAAAAGCATTCAAAAACTGAGAAAATGGACGAAAAAAAGATGAAAACACTAACGGCCAGTTCCATAATCGCAAAAAAGCCTACTTTATTCTTGAAAAGCTCCTTTAACTTCTAAAATCTGTTCCATAAACAGTTTTTGAAGGAGTCATTACGGAAAAGTGACGTTTACCTTAAAGTGCCGAGCTTGACCAATTACGCATTGAAAAGAGTACTTTATATAGGGCAATTCACCCTATAAAGTGCCAAATTACAGTTTCTATATTTTGGTTATTTCCATAGACATTTCATGTCAAAATCCAAATGGCAATTTTCGAGCCATTCAGATGAATAGGATATAAAATTATATTGAGCGATACAGGATGTGAGTGGATTGTTTTGAAAAATATGACGACACAGAATTCTTTGACCGATTTAGGTTAACAAAATCGACTGTTGGAGCCCTACACTGGATAAAAAAGCACATACAACTTCCTTTTTATTTAATTGTCTTTCCGCTTCAATTGATCCACATTTCTTACAACCGTTCCACTAGCATTTTAAGTTGTGAGCTAAAGCTACCTCAAGCCTTCTCCTTAGAATATTTCATGCATAGGATAAAACCAAATTGAAACTACAAACCTTGTCTGCATTTGTTGATTTATTTGTTTCTTTATTTTCAAGAATTTCAATTTTGCGCTCTTCATGAAAAGCTTCTAATAAACGAATTTATTCCTCCTTTGAAAAGGGACACTCTTCTTTCTTTCATTTTGTTCTCTGCACCACAGAACCTCTGCACTTATTTCAATCATTTCTGAAATGGCTAGAATTTTTGTCAACACACGTCAAAACCAACTTCATCTCTTCAATTTCAGTGTTGCCAAATGGGGAAAACCGATAATTACTCCTTTTTGTAACAGACGATTTAAAATGTTTCATGGAACCCAACTAACTTTAAGGGATGCTTAAAGTATACTTTCAACGAAAAGTGTTCTTTTCTTAAAGCCGACCTAACGTAATATTTATAGAACTGGCCGTAATTCAAACCATGTTTAAGGAATCTCTGACCCTTTTCCAGCAGTCACTCCACACATAGATTGGCGAACTCAAACAGTCAGTCCAGTTTCTGTCAGACAGCTGATGAACATAAGAATGCCATTATTGATCTCATAAATGAGGTGAAGTGTTTAAAAAAGGAAAACAGTCAGGTAAAAGAGCGTGTGAATATTCTTGAAGACAGATTAAACACCAACGAGCAACTGGATGAAGCAAATGACCTAATTGTTGCAGGAATCCCAAAACAACAAGAGGAACCAAAGAAAATCGTAGAAAAAGTTTTAAGTGGCATGAATCTGAGACTACAGGAAGATGATATACAAGAAGTTTACCAGATAAGTAAGAAGGATGATGCACTGATACTAGTTAAGCTAAGGAATCAAACAGTAAAACAGAGAGTATTGAAACAGGTGAAACATATTAAAGGAATAAAAGTAAATGAAGTCCACATTCATTGGGAGGAAGTAAAAATATTTTCTTTAACGAGGACCTGACACACAAAAATCAACTCCTGTTCAAGCAAGCCAGAGAATGCAAAAAGAAACATGGACTATGTGCAGCATATGTTGCAAATGGCAAGATATATCTTAAGAAATCAGGAACCGATCGACCAACTAGAATCAGGAATGAGGAAGACTTTATACTGTGAGTCAGACTTCACTGTGATACAAAAACGAAACAAAACAAAAAAAAACACTAAATCGCTAAAATAGCTGTTTGAAAATCTGAACATTTTGTTCATAAATATTACTGCAACATAGTGTCTGTTTATCTACCCATACAAAACCTTACTGTCTATGCAGTATAGAGAGCACCAAAAAACAATCATGAAATATTTACAGCAGAATTAAATAAATTGCTGGAACAGCAAAGAAACCCTACCATCCTGATCGGTGACATGAATCTGGATCTGCTGAAAAACTCGCAAGCAGTTAGAACATATAAAAACATAATAGAAATGAATGGATTCCAACTACAAATCATAATAACTCAACAAAATGCAACAAGAACCACTGAACACTCAGGATCAATTCTGGATCATGTCACAACAAACAAGAATTTGCTCTGTAGCCTGAAGATGGAAGACTGACATTTCCGACCACAAAGTTATTTTTGCTACAACTGTCAAAAAATGATGATGTTCGCACACTCATGACAGTTTGCGAAGGGACACTTTTTTCCCAGGTATTGATTTTTTAACGTTCCCATGACACCAGTGTGCGAACCAGCTATTTCGCACCCTAGTGTGCGAAATAGCTAGTTCGCACACTGGTGTCATGATGACACATACCTGTCAGGATGCCAAAAAATAATTAAAATTCACCTGTCTTTGACTGTAAATACAATTTTAGCTTCGAATGATCGATATTTAAATGAGGTTGTAGAAAAAATATTGTTTGCAACTCGTGCGCGAAATACTTTGGTGATCTCGACTATTTTTTTAACTCGGCTGCGCCTCGTTAAAAAAATCAGTTCTCGATCACCAAAGTAGCATTTCGCGCACTAGATACAAAAATAATTATTTATTTAGGTAAAGAAAGTCAGATTTCAAAACACCAAACAAATATTTAAAAAAAACTTACCTGGATACGGATCATTGGAAAATTTGCTTTAAAGAAGAATTTACAAAAAGAATCATAAATACCTTTGGAGAACTGACCAGTGTAATAAATGATACTAAGAATACCTGTACAACACAACGAACACTGAAAATAAGAAACCAAAATTACTGGGTCACAATAGAGCTTATTAAAAAACTCCAAGAAAAAGATAAACTTTATGTTAGGATGAAAAGAGTAAAAAAACGAATATACCACAAAAGAATTTAAGAGAGCCAAAAATGCACTAAATAATCTTCGGAAAACATTACCAAGACAGTATGCTGAAAGGAAATCACAAGAAGCAGAAAGTGATCCGAAGAAAACATGGAAAGACCTGTGTAACAGAAATGTCGATAAGCAGAAAACCTTCACAAAAATAACAAGAAGGGATAAGGGATGGAGCAGAGACAGAGAATAACTTTGAAATGGCTGAGGAGTTTAATAACCATTTTGCAAGCATAGAAAAAACCCTAGCCTCATACCCTAGCAACCAAATGCTAGTAAAAAATTTGAGGAAGAAGAAATATTGGAAAAACTAACACTGAAGACATCAAATCTTGAAGAAGTAAGGAACACACTAAACGAACTAAAAAATCACTCTGCACCTGGCAAAGACAACATAGTAAAATATAACTTTACTCGATTTTTTGACATCGTTGGACCAAAAATTGTTGAACTCATAAACAAAACATTGGAAAGTGCAATATATCCAAAAAAATTAAAAACAGCAAAAATCGTGAATTGAAAAAGACCTAAGCCTTGGTTGAGTGTAAAGGGTGAGTTTAGAGAGTTTAGTTTAGATAAATAACATTCCACCAAACGGAAATCATGAGAGATTTTCTGATTGTTGATGCAATGATTTTGCGTTAACTTTCTTGTGGGTCAAATTCGACCCTGTATAATATAGGCATGCATTTTGCAGACCTTGATAGAAGCGCATTGCGTACCGCCTAAGAATACCTAGCGAAAAAGGTAGAACAGTACCGATAGTACCATTGATACGATAGATTTGGTCTGGTTCGAACCCACTCCATTCGATGGTTCCTTTTTTTTCGCAAAAAATGTTTGCGACCGTTGAGTTTTTCGTCCATTTATCGCCGTTTAACAATTGATCGTGTGTTTACGGGTATTGAATGCGCCGTTTAAAATATATTGTAATGCACGTCGAACTATACAACTACTCAATAAGTTAATACTAATGAAGACGCGAGGTTCATCGCGATCATTGCATTGGGCTACTGTTGAGCCGGTCGGCACTGGATCCTTCATCACGGAGATTTAAAATGTATAGAAAAACAGGCGGAGGAAAGAGCCATGGGGTTTTCTGCAGGCATAACAGAGATAGACAAAATGACAACAGGAATCTATTAAATTTTTACAAAAAAAACTAGATAATTTTTGGAATTCTGGTTTGCGCCATTGTATTGCTAATACACATAAGAATGGCGCTAACTAAAAAAAAAACACCATAAATTGATTAATTTTCTTGTTTTTTCTTCAGTTTAAATTACGTTTTTGTAATTTTTCGAGAACTTGTTTCTATTATCGAATTTCTAAAAAGATAGCGCCATTCGTCCCTATATTATAAATCGAATGCAAAAAAGAAAGTTGATATAACTTCAATTCTTAAAAAATTAGGTTGAAATTAAGAATGCAATGCATTCCTTGTTTCATTCATCTCATTCCCACTAAGGAGTATTAATCGGAGCGGAAGAATACAATGATAGACTGCGGACTGCGTTAGGTGCTTCGCGTAGGAAAAAATATTTTGGCATTGAGGCGCATCCAATACCCTTAAGCCTTCAAGGGGCGCCCCAAAGTTACAAGACCACAAAAGCCAAATTGGGTTAGTGACAAATAACCTTTTTGCATGAACTCACTCCATTTCCTATTTTTTTTCGTGTAATAAGGACGCAATACTCGCCATACAGTCCACTAATAATTCAACCGTAATAATTGCAACCTCACTGATCCCCCTGTATATTTGTGAGAACTCTTTCCACAATAAAATAATCCATTATCCACGTTTTCTCCGAAACTCTGTATTTTCAATAATATTGAAAATATCAGAGGTAGGTAATAAAAAATGAAAATGTTCGGAAAAGATCAAGCTACAATTTGGTCTTAAAAACAAACTGTTCTGAATGTCCAGTGGTTCACTCTACAGGGTGTCTCAAAAAACTCTGAAAATTACTGACTTTCTTTCCATCCCTGTATACGATATAAAGACGAATCATTTAACCCTCGGGCAGGCACGCTATCGGCCTTTTATGCCGCCTTTTTACTAATTCAAAGATTGCGCAAATATTGTGGATTTTATCATATTGTCCGTCTAGCTTCAAATGACTATAACAGTAAACCTACTATGCACAATTCACGACCTTAGAGCGCTTGTTCAGATGTCAGTGAGTTCTTGAACTTGCAGGTGTTGAGTTTTCGGCATTCCGTGCCGCCAGCGCGCCTGGTCATGTAAGTAAAATTACAAGGGGAATAGTACAAATATTATGAACAATACCTATTTTTGTGTTTTTGCGCAATTAGTATAAAGGATTTAATTTAGTTTCCTAGAATTACAACTTATTTAATTTTTTTACTCTATTTAAAAATAAATTTTGATGTTTTGAATTATTTCCTATGTTTTTCTGCTGGCGGCACGCAGTGCCGCAGCGCGCCCGCTAATGTGATTTTTAAATGCGCGCCTGCCCGAGGGTTAATAACGGTAATACGTCAGATGTATTCCTGAAGAATCAAGCTACAATCTGTGAAAAATTCATCAAAATCGAGCGGAGGGTTCAAGAGAAAATTGATGTCAAACTTAGTGTAAATTTTTTCCGTTCCTCTTGTGTATTTCAGAATTTTCCCAAATTGAATATATAAGTACAGGATAAATGAGACGACTTCCTCTTCTCTACTTTTCGAAACCATTGAGTAATCTTCCAAATGATATCTACTAGCTTTAGTGTGGAATAATGTATAAATAATTTCTATAGTGAAAATATCGAAAATTCAAATCCTTTTCTCGTCCTCTAAACAACTCACGCGAACGCTTAAACTAGATTTAAATTCGGCTTTTGTTCAATGGGCCGTGTTACCGATGTATTTTTGAATAAAACAAACGTTTATATTCAGTTACGGTTTCTAGTGGATTTTGAAACTTTGCCGATACTCGCATATAAAATAACAACTTTATTATCAAAATAATTCTCAAGTTTGAGGCAGATTACTGGTGACCAAATCTCCAGTGATGGCGATGTAACAGAAGGCGCCGTCGTCTGGCATCGGTTGATTCGCAAGAAATTCGTTAGCATAACATCCGGTCGGATCGGTTATTGCACAATTTTCGACCGCCAGTTTCGCAGCTTCGGCCAAAGGTTTCAACGTTTGCCACGAGGGATTTTCGGCAAAAGGACCGACAGCCCTTAAATCGTGCACGTAACTAAAAAATTGTTAATATTCAGTTGTTTTGTGTATTTCTTTCAAGTTCTAATCATCTGTTAAGATTGTACAATAATTAGAAAAAAGGAATAGAAAGATCTTGTGTATAATATGAACAAACCCGAGTAAAGCCATCATGTAATCGTTCCTGATAGCTTTCATTCTGGAACAGCACTCATTGCCGTGCACCGAGCACAGCATCTGCAACCAGGCGGCCACTCTTGTCCGCTCGGTGCCGCTCGAGATCATTGCCGCGTACGGTTTGATCAGATACAAGTACAACTGGAACTCTTGATCCAGAATCTACAAAAAATTGCAATATAGATATACAGAAGAAGTATAAAAAACACGTCGCCACTGGTGAGGTCCGCCATTGACGGCATTACTGTGCTCCACAATGGTGCTCCAGAGCAGCTTTCGGATGCTCCTAGAACACTTCACACCTGTCAGTAACCTGTCATACTCCATGCGTTTTGCACTCGAACGTTTGAAACCGAACGGGTCAAACTGTAACCGGAGTACTTCGGAGTAACTCGGGAGCGCTCAAACAGTGGCACCCGAAAGCAGAGCTCGTCAAAGTTTATGTCATCGGTCCACGTCAGCACATGTCAGGTGGATAATAGTTATTTATGTATCAAGGGAATTATGCAGGTGTTAATACCCCAGGGCAACGTTTGTCGGCCCGAGGGACACCAATTGCCCGTGGGTATTAACTCCTGATAATTCCCGTGGTACATAGATAATTTTATATCCTACTGAATTTACTGTATTCTGTCTATTTTTATAAAGGAATAAGCCATAAATCAAAATTTCTATTTTTTGTCAAAGTGTTACCTATTCAAGGTAAAAGCGGGAGTTATGGAAATCCTTAACTCCCTTGGGAGTTATGATATCCTTTACTCCCTTCCTTAACTCCCTTGGGAGTTATGAAAATCCTTAACTCCCTTGGGAGTTAAGACCCTGTTTATGATTATCGTAACCAAGGTATTATATGGTTTTAATAGTTCAGTAGGATATAAAAAAAATAAGGTACGACTCATTACGACAAGAGGGAATTATTGAAATACGGCCGCAGTTGACTGTGCCGCTTTAGTGCCGACCCAAAATTGACTGTGGCGCGCGCTATTTTGGCTCAGAAAAGGAATTATTGAACGACACGTTAAGTCGGCAGTGGTGAACTTTGGCAGTGGCATGTCATGTTCTATTTTTATATTCGGAACCTAAAATTGCAAAATGTAAATACGTGTTTGGTGTTCTTCTGAATAGATTTTTGTTGAATTTGTTTTGTTATTTCATCTATATTTTAAAATGTAGGATTTTGGAGACCGTATTATTAGGGGACGGGGATGGGAATGATGATTACTCGATGTGGGATACGTCATTCTAAACCAAATTTTAAGGGACGAGAATGATGAAAGGCGAGGCCCCGTCGTCATTGAAGCGAAGTATTTGTGGCTTTAAACTGTCTTTCTCTTCAAAGGATCCCATTCTAATGAAAAAATCCAACACAAACAATCAACAGAACAGGCAAATCGGCAAAAAACTTATAAAAACACAGCACCAAACACCGCCAAGAAGCCACTAACCATCCACTAACCTGTCACTGGAAATTGAAGAAATATGTTTGGTCGAACTTTGTTCAAAATCAATTCTGAATTGAACTGCGCTTGCACATTTGTTGTTCATATCGAAACCAATGCGCAAGCGCAGTTCAATTCAGAACTGATTCTGAACAAACGGAACAAACCTATGAATGTAAATTGATAAAAAAGTGAGGTTAACATTTGAATAAGCCTTGACTTGAAAAAAAAGAAGAGACGAAGAGACATAGGGACGAGACTGTGCCTGTTTATGGCCTGTTTTTATTTTCCACAAATAGTGGAAGGCGCAAACTTTATTAGTGGCGGCACTAAAAATAAACTGTACTGTCACAACGCGCACGTCTCAAAAAGGTCAAAATATTGCCTAGCGCTATTAGTGCCTGGCATTTTATACTCTTCAATAATTCCCTATTATGACGGCAAGCCAAGTATTATCCGTTCACAATCCGATGTCTATAGGTACAGGTGAAATTTATCACCTTTCAATGCTATTTGATAGGGGAAGGTGAAAAATTCACCTGCGCCTGTGGACATCGGATTGTGAACAGGATATAATATATCGTCCTTACCGGTTGTCATATGCAGAGAAAGATGTTAAAGGCATAGTCGATGATCTCCTTGAGAATTACATTATACAAAAAAAGTGAATCGCCATATTCAAGCCCCATATTGTTAGTTAAAAAAAAATAGGGAACAGCGTATGTGTGTCGACTATAGGGCTTTGGATTCCAAGACCATCAAAGATCGATTTTCACTACCTCACGTTAACGATTTTTTTAGAAAAACTTAAATCGAAGAGTCGTCAACTCCCACGACTGCATTTATCACGCCTGATTGGAAGTTACAAATATTTGCGTGTTTCTTTTGGATTAAGTAATGCTCCCGCGATTTTTCAAAGGACAATTAATAAAGTCTTAGGAAATCTTCGATATAGGAATAGTAATGTGATAGATTATATGGATGATGTGCTTTTGCCTCAAAAAGATTTTGAGTCTGGTTGAAAACAGTGTTTGAATCCATTAGAGCAGCTGGTCTAATTTTAAAATTATCCAAGTGTCAGTTCTTTATGGAGAGAGTGGAATATCTTGGTCACGAGATATCCAGCTATCCAGTCTCCACGGATTTTCATAAAGTTCGACAGTTTGTTGAGTAAGCTAGCTACTTTCGGAAGTACATACATAGGACTTTGTTACGATCGCTCGTCCTTTGACATCCCTAACGAAAAAGGATGTTACATTTTCTTGGGGTTTTGAATAAAGTGAAGCTTTTGATACGCTCAAGGAAAAGTTATCATCACGACCAGTAGGTACTAGCTATATATGATCCAAGTTTAAAAAAGTGCTAACAGATTCGTCAAAATGGGGCATTGGTGTTATATTTCTGCAACAGCAAGCTGATAACACATTGACACCTGCCATGTACTTTTCTCGCCAAACTACGAAGGAAGATCAGAGATGCCACTCTTATGAACTTGGAACCATAGCTCTGGTGGATGCACTTAAACATTTTCCAGTATATCTTATAGGAACTGAATTCAAGGTTGTTACAGATTGTAATGCGGTCAGAACTACGCTGTGTAAAAGAGATTTGATACCTCGTATTGGAAGATGGTAGCTCTCAATCCAAGAATTCATATTCAATATTGAATACCCAACTGGTCTTAAAATGGCACGAGTGTAACGAGTGCAGATATATTCGTCGGTGATATGAATATTTCTTATGAGGACTGGGTACCCAGTGCACAACTGGCTGACGATAGATGCAAACTTATTTTAGAGACATTGGAACAAGAACCTAAGAATCGTGAGGAGCAAAATCTTCACAAGGACTTATTGTTTAGAAAATGGTAGACTGTACAAAATAACAGAAAAAAATCAAAGAAAATGGGTTGTACCAAGGTCAGCAAGACGGCAAGTTCTTTTACATTTTCATGATGGCATTGGATATTTGTCAGTCGAAAAGACTATTTCTGCAATTGGTAAACTTTATTGGTTTCCTGGTATGAGAAGCTATGTCAAGAAATATACATAATGTTGTTTGCCATGCCTATACAATAAAGAACCTAGTGGCAAGCAAGAAGCTTCAGGAAACGCATTGATCTACGAGCGACTAAATAAATAAAAAGAGCTTCAATAATCATTACCCAGCAGTTTTTGAAGAGCAAATTCAAGATGAAGAGCCTCAATAACCAATGCAGACGCTTAGGAAAAAGCATTATTCATTTATTGTCTGTAGCATCCAAGATGAGTCCACCGTCCCTTACCATCAGGGATCAGATGTCACAGCTCGATATTTTAGTGAAATTATCAATAATGGGAACTGGATTGGGCTGTTGCAAAGCTGCAGAGTATGTTATTGAATTAGAACCTGGTACCAAATCTATTAAACAAAGATATTGCCCAGAATGTCAGGAAAACGTTATCGATGAAGCCTTAGACGGAAATGTTGAGTCTTGGTGTGGTTAAACATCTGAAAAGTCTCTGATGTCTCTAGCTCGTAAAAAGAATGGCCGCGTTCACCAGATACAAACGTTGGTAAACGGTTTGCGATTATTCTGCTGAACGCTACGTTGAATTTATGTTGAAACCAAACATGTTTTGCAAACGGTCGCCATTTTTGCAAGCATAATTTCAGTGTTTATAATGTTCAACACTGTGTTTTGTGTGGTGACCTGTCATTCAGAGGGTGACGTTCTATCATTGAAAAGTTGAATCGTTCAGCAGAACCAAGAGTTTACCAAACGTTTTCTGTTGGTATTTGTAAACTGTTCACAATCCGTTTTGGTTCTGGTGAACGTAGCCAATACTTATAAAGTGTGCTTGAACTTCAGAATGCTCCACGAGTACACTAAAAAGGACAGCCTTACATTAATTCCATCCTTGACAATATTTACGTATATAGACATAAAATCTGCTTATTGGCAAGTACTACTTAGTTCTGAGTCACGTGGACTGCTTCTACTATGTCCGGATGAGGATTGTTTCAGTTCTGTAGAATGCCTTTCGGGTTAATCAATGCTCCAGCAACTTTTCAGCGCACCGTAGATAATGCTTTGGGAACAGCATGATGATGATTTATTCTGATTAGTGAAACAATAGAGGAAAAAACTCCCAAAAAATAAATCCCAAACTAAAAGGGAGGACTTAAATTAAGAGAACGAGTTTATAGAATTATTGGAACAAACTTTAAAATAATCAATTTGTGAAGATGAGACCGAATAGGGTTCAGTACCAGAACCTTTAAGTCAAGAGCCAATATTAAAAGCGATCTAAGTAGAATAAGTGTTCAAGAATCACTAGCTTCAGAAAAAAGCTAGAAGCTTATTAGGTAGAAATTAATTACAAACAAGGGCAGTAAGTATCTTTATCAAATGCCATTTGAGGATACACGACATCAAAGCTGACCAGGATTTCCTTAGGTTGGAGAATAATATCCCTAATTCTCTGGACGGAGTGAGTGGAGTCCTTGACGTAAGAGCTAGTTTTTCCTACATGCAGTTGAAGAAGCAATGCAAGATGTTTCGCTAGGTTGTACGTTGGTGCTTCAGGTGCACTCACTATGGGTCTTAGCGGGACTTCAGGTTTGTGAATTTTGTGTAGGCGATAGAGTCGAGAGGAAACCGCTTCCGTTTTTATGATGCCTTTGTTATAGGTGTCTGTTAGGGTAAATGACCGAATCAGTTTGCTGGTGTTCCGGAGTACGGCTTGGGTGGGATTCTTCTTTAGCTTTCGGTAGGTAGATGGATCAAGGAGTTCCTGAATTTTCTGGTTCTAGTCTTCAGTTCTAAATAGGACAGGTGCGTTGCCCTTATCTGCAGGTAGGATCATATTTTCTGCTGAATTCAGGTTTTAAAGTGCCATTATTTCCTTCTTAGAGAGGTTACTGGTTGGGGGTCGAGCCTTTCGTAAAATGTTAGTCGTCTCAATATGGATTTCTTCTGATTCCAAATCAGGTAGTGCTCTGATGGCTGCTTCAGTGCTGGTTATGATCTCCTCCATTGGCAGGTGTTGTGGAGTATTTGCGAAATTACCGCCTTTTTCCAAGATGGCTGTTTCCTCTTCATAAAGGACTTGATCCGTGAGATTGATGACCATTCTGGATTTGTCAGGCGCTGGGGAATTTCGGAAAATGGCACACAAGGTGAGTTTGGAATGGTAGAAAGTGCGAACACTTTTTACACTATTGACACTGTGGCGTTCATTAATTGGTAGGAGTAAGTTTGGTGTACACTTTATTTGCGTTTGGAAATAATTTGGTGCCCGAAAGGTGTGAAGATCGTGGGACACCGTTCACTCGGTACAAAATGATGGTGTATTCGGTGTTACACCGCCGATTACACCTTCATCGCATGATATAACACTGCACTACACGAACACCGCTCTAGCACTGCACTAAAATCCAATTCGAATTCAACACTACAGACAGGTACCTGCATGGACTCTCAAACCACTATCCAAGGCAAAAACCTGATATTATAACAACGTTAACAGAACGTACTCGGAACATCTGCGAGCCACACCATCTCGAGCAAGAATTGGATCACTTCAAGTCGGCCTTTCCCTCAAATGGATTCATTAGCAAGTTACTACCAAAAACTTCAAGAAAAAACCAATTTAAAAAAAAAGAGCTTCAAATATGGGTGTTTACAAAAAGGTTTAAAACTGTCGTATAGACGTTTTGTGATCATTTAAAAAAACAATAATGAATTTTAAATTCCCTCTTTTCATACCTTATCAAACTGATGATCCTTCTTACACATCTCAGGCTCGTCATGGATATAACAATCCAGCAAACTGAAATCGTCTGGTAAATTTTGCAAAGAATCCTGCCACATGTTATCAGTTTCCCATTGGGCCGCGGCCACCGGTCCGGGACGCACCGACTGCAAGTCCGGCAACGGACCGTCCGGTGGAAATCTCCTAAAAGTATCGACAGCTTCGTCGAGAAGCAAGGAAGTCGTCAGATAAGCTAAATATTTGTTGCGTTTTTCGCGCAATTGCGAACTGTGATATTCGGGCCTGAACAGTTTCCTGATCCAAGGGATAATGTAACGGCGGTCGCCTTCTTTGGTTAGAGTTGGTCCAAACATGCGTAGTACCGCCGAGTAGTAAACGAATTCTGTGTTGAGGGGATCAGTAGTTGGGGCTCTTAAATTGTTTTAGTTGAATTAAATTGTTTTTATGAGTTTCATTATACCTTATTGGTGCCTCCCCATATCTGAAATAAGATAAGTTATTTTGCTTTTATTTATCACACAAAAGTTAAGCCTTACGTTGCTTCTCCGCCTTCCATTTTGATACAAAAATTTAGATTTTTGATAGAAAAATTTACTGGTAATGTCAAAGAAAATTATCAATTAACTAAAAAGTCCAGGTAGGTAATTACCTTTCTTAATCTACTGAAAATGATTCAAACAAAAAGAACGATAAGACGTGAAGTAGGGTCCCCCAATGAAATATGTAAAGTTTCGGAAAACCCTTTTTGCAAAAACGAAAATAGGCTTAAAGTTAAGTTTTCGGAAAATAATCTTATGTAAATCTGTTTTGGAAGTTATCGTCGGATTAAAAAGGAGACAGAGGGACGAGAAACTTCTCTTGAAAGTTTTAAGTGAGAGGCATTTAGCGAATAAATTTGCCTCTCCACCTGGTTGTTCTCAGATTATTTAAACGTTTCTTAATACAGGGCCCATTCATTTAAGATCGCGCCGGGATGCTAATTAGGGGAGCTTACCGTGTGTCTGTTTCATCCCCATCTGCGGGAGGGTTAATATACGAGAAGTTTAAAGCCGGGCGAAGTTATAGTTTAGAGGAGAGTGTAAAATGTCACATATTGTAGCACTGAGGAAGTTTATTATGTAAAATATGCTAGGGTAATACATAAACATTTATTTTGAAATTTATACTGGATGATACCACTATTGCTATAATCGGTTCACTCTTTAGATCTTTTTAAAATCAAAATAATGTTATTAAGTGGCTTTTAAAAGGGCCTGAGGTCAGGTAAATATGATGTGAAAAATTAGGTTAGAGGGAGGAAATCCCGAAAGCCGCTCACGTAGTTAACTAGGTCCTGAGATAAATTTTAAAAAATGTACCTTAAAGTCGTTAAGAAGAGAGATGAGCCCGAGGCAAATTAGACGGAAAATATGGTGCCAAGTTTTATTTCTTACAACAGTTTTTGTTTGCACAGGCCTTTTGAAGAACAGAGATGTTGAAGGGATTTTGTATATTTCGTTTTTTTTTTTTTTTTCGTTTTCGCAGTTATAGGACCTCGAAAAATCTTTATTGAATATGGTGCAGTTCCAAGCTGCCCCCCTTTTTTTTGTGTTGCAGAACTAACTTTGCTATACTACTACTACCTGAGAATATTCATGACAAACATTTGAGACAAAATCCGGATCTGGCTTCAAAGCCAAAAGAAAATAAATGTCTTCCGGTCCGAGGATTATTCGTTCTTGTCCCTTATTCTTTTCGGAATTAATCTTTGAAAAATTTGCCTTAAGTAGATTTTGATAAGTGGCAATTTAAAATTTCCCTAAACGTCGATTAGGGGATTTGCTTTACGACGATAATTTTTGCCTTATAGAATACCAGATTTTCTTTCGCTTTAGGTTAAACTCAACCCCGTACATACACTAACGAGTCTTTTTTTTCTCTTGCTTTGAAACTGATTCTTTATTGTTTAGAGAGGGTGTATTTGCCTAAAGCTATTTATTTTGAATTAGCTTTCACAAATGTAAGTGTTGTCGTTTTCCAAGGATTTTGCAGTTGATGTTTAAATTATGCACTATACATAGAAAAAAATGCAACAAATTGTCCCAGACAGAAATAAATTTGATGGCGTTAGGGGGTAAATTTGCATATTAAATATCGTGCAACACAACTATGTTTTTAATTGCGCCCCCCATTTTTCTTAAGTTTGGCGACACAAAATCGACCCCCGGAGGGGCCGCTTGTTCAACACGCAATGTTGACCTTATAAAATTTCTTATATACGTCTGGTGGTGCTATTATTGGGTACAACATGCAAAGTTTAATTATTGCAAATTTATGATTGCCTGCATAAAAAGTTATACAAATATCCTACTTACTGTTCTTTCCTCGTTAACTTTTTTCATTGTTCGCAAAGAAACTTTCTGGCAACATTATTGTTATTAATATTGTCATAATAAAATCGAGTTTATGGGTTTAATTTCTCGAAGTTTATATTCGAAGGAAATTTTATTTTAACTGTTTTATTAGTTCCGGGGCGCTTTATAATGCTCCTGCATTAATGCGTTCTGGATCGTAAAAGCATTAACGAAAGTCGCGTTCAGTCTTCATTTTTTTTTTTGGCGATTATAGTTATTGCTCGACATTTGGCTCCAATAATAACAATTTTTTATCGGTATGCAATATTTTTTCTTGATAGGCTTCATTAGGATTCGATTTTAAGGGCGACTCTAAATTTATGCCTGAGGCGTAAATTTTATCTAATGATTGTATTGATACTTTTCTACTTTCGACTAGGATTGATGACCGCCCTCTTGTTCTCTTTACCTGATTTTTGCTACTAACGAATTAAGAGTAAGATTGCAAAATTTCAGAATGAAACTTCTAATTCACGATTATTTTGTGACTTACATACCTGGGAAACAACTTACTGGACCCGATGCTCTCAGCAGAGCTCCATTACCTATCGGAACAGAAGATCTTGATATACTGGAAGAAAATTTTAAGACTATTGCAAGTCTGACAATACGTATGTTCACAAAATAAAAAATCCCGTTTAACAATCATTAAATTATTAAGCATCTTTTCATGAGTAAGTCTACAAAATTTTCCGGAAATCAGAAAATTCTTTCTATGAGAAAAACGGAGATGAAAAATTAATATTCGTTTAAACGCACGAAATGCTCTCTGACGTCACAATGCGTAACAAGTTGGTGCGCGCAAGTGCAGTGGCGTTACTTTCTACTTGGACTACTGACGTTGCTTTTGCGATTTTTGTTGGCAATAAAGAATATTAATATACTATTATTATGGCTAGGTTTTAATTTAACGAGAGAGTCTGTTTAACGTTTAACAAGTATTTTGATGGTGCTGCTATCTCCTTCGTGTCGATCTCTGTGTTAGGGTTTATCGAAATTAAGGTAGAAAAGGTACTTTGGCTAAAATGGAAGAAGGTTTCCAAAAAGCCGATTCACATAATCTGCCAACTGTGGACATTACTATGATATCAAAATTTTTGGTCAAGTATCAAGACTTAAATCGAATCTGCCCCAGTCCGGTGGTGTAAAAGTAAAACCGACGTATTATACGTATTGTTCGTCGATTGTAATCTGATACTCGGACGGAATGTGAGCTGGTGGCTCCCTACATTAGAACGCCAATGGTTACCTGACGTCACACCTGTTTTTGCCATATGAAACACCCCCTCGCTCCTCATACCGCAAGTATCAGTTAAAAATCGACGAACAATAGGTATAGTTGAATTTGAATACTGATATATAGTTTTCCTACGAGCGTGCGCAAAGTAGTACTTTTCCGCACGCATTTCCGGACTCAAAGTTACACTTTTCCGCACTCAGTGCGGATACAGGCCTTATCCGCACTGAGTGCCGAAAAGTAATTATAATTGTCAAGCAACAATAAGTGCACCTGTCGACTTTGACACATGATGACAAATTTTTCCTCTATTTCTATATCAGCCAACATCTATACAAACACCAATTATAAATTAACTTTGACACATCAGATTTGTTCTCTATTCATATGCAAAAATCTACAAACTTTCTCATCAAATTTAAACGCTTTAAGATGAACAGCTCTGACGAGGATTTTCTGTTATTTTTTTTTGTTATGTAATTTTTTGATAAATGCATAGGTTCCCTTCAAGTTAATTAAAAATAATTAAACAAATTATCGTTTTTTTTTAAAAAAATTTTGTTATTACCTACCTGATATGAAGCTCGTAGGAAAAATTTAGTTCCTAACACGTGCGCAAAGTGTCTTTTCCGCACGCAAACACGTATCCGAACTCCGCTTCGCGTCGTTCGTATAACTGTGTTTGCGTGCGGAAAAGTAACACTTTGCGCACTTGTTAGGAAAATAACTATATTTACCTATAAGAGGTGCGGAAAGTTATACTTTTCCGCACGCAACGGCATTTGTACGAACGAAGCGCCAGCGGAATTCGTGCAAGCCACAAGTGCGGAAGAAATACTTTACGCTCGTGTTAGGCACATTTTTTCTACGAGCGAGTGGAAAGCGCGTCCTCACGTACCGATTTGCGTGCGGAACCTCGTAGGAAAACACGCTCGTAGGTACCACTTTTTTCGACTCGGTTTAACTTTGTTTGAGTCTTCCATGATTACACAAACACAGATAACTAGAGTGAATGAAGCTTCTTGGGATAAAGCAAAAGTCAGCAACACAATAAATTCAATGTAAACTTGTAAACAAATCTCTCCAATGCGTCAGCTGATTATTCGTTCCGCACAGTGACGTCAGAAGCCCTACTCTCGCCGCAGGGGGTCGTTTTGCTAGCATCGCTAATTTCGGTTTTTTGTTTTCAATTTATCAGAAAAAATTAAGGGTTTCTAGATGTTTTAACGCTTAATAAGTGTTTTGTGGACCTAGAACCACCACTTTTCATTACAATTGAAAAATAGTGAACGTTCCTATTACAGCAAGCCCAACAGGAAGATTTGATGTTTTTTTATCGGCTTCTCTGGAAGGGTGGTGCCATTTCCAAAGACCCATTCACCAGAATTTTGGTTTTTATTGAGGCGTCTGAGGGTTTAACCGTGGTCGGTCGGTGGACTAATTAGGTAGGTACCTACTTCACATTAGAATTTTAAACCTGATGCATTCAAAAGAAACATGCGTATATAACTATAAACAAAAAAAAAAAGCATTTATATGTACAAAAAAACAAACTTAGTTGTAGTAAGTACCCAACCTACCTTGGACAATTAGGGAATCCAGACCACGTGACTTTTGCCAACCAGCCGGCATTTTGAAATTTCTATGAGGTTAGAATACGGGTTGTTACATGTCAACGATGTCAGAAACGTGTCAGATTTGAGTACTCGCCCCGTGTATTGATAAAGCCTTGATAAAACTTTCATAATCACTGAAAGGCATTTTTGATAAAAAATAACGCAAAATAAATCTCACCTTTTTAAATTCACATTTCTTATTTCGGTACTGAAGTAGATTGCATTGGAAATTAAATATTTCATTCCGACACCATTTCCATGATCACTTGGGGTAAACTTGCAAAATCGGCTATCTCGAATCCTTGTTCCACTGACAGCTTTCAATTCGAACCTCGATTTTATCACACCAAACCGAAGAGTACAATAAACAGCACAAATCGAAAATGTTTTATTTACGAAAAGTACCTTTTATCGAGGCTCTTTCAGTAGGTACCAGATTTGTGTGGCGTACCAGGTTTTGG